AAAATATAATAGACTAAGGATCTAAGATCACATCAACTATGCATATCTCAATGACCATGCTAGATTTCTCTAAGAGAGTAATCTCATCAAATATGTACTAAGGTTAGAAAAGTTGGGTTGGAGATTTGAGATAATAACAAATATGTACTCCTAAGATGGTAATGGTGCATCAACTTCTTAAGAAAGGGGAGTCTTATGGAAGTCTTGTAAAGTATGTCATAAAAAATATTGATCAGAAAGCTTAGGATAGCAATATGAGGCAACAATAACTAGAGAAAGATATTGAACATAGATGAGTGAGATAATTTAATAATCTTTTCAATGAAGTTTTGAAAATACAATCGATATTAGTGATCTTATTATTAATAATAATAATTTTTTTAATTTTTAGCATCACATTAGTAAAAAAGAACGTTGAGTAGGCTTTAAAGAAATTTAAGTGTGGAAAATCAATAGCACCTGATAGTATCCTAATAGATGTATGGAAATATTTAGGAGATTTAAGAATTTCTTAGCTTACTAAAATTTTTAATATTATTTGAAAAACTAAAATGATGCCTGAAGGAGAGGAAAAAGTGTGTTTTGGTTTCCATTTTTAAAAATAAATGGGATGCATACGAGTGTGCAAGTTATAGAGGAATTAAGTTAATGTGTCATACATTAAACTATGTGGGATAGTAATTGAACATTGGTTAAGGCATGAGACAAAGATTTCTCATAATCAATTTTGATTAATGTCAGGCAAGTCTGCTATGGAAGTTATATATTTATTGAAATGTTTGATGGAGAAGTACAAAGAGAGTTAGGAAAATCTACATATGATTTTTATTGATTTTGAAAAAACTTATGATAAGGTTCCAAGAGATGTTCTTTGGAGAGTTTTAGAAAACAAAGTTGTTGTTCTGACTTATTTTCAAGTCATTAAAGATATGCATACTAGAGTCGTTACTTGTGTTCGAACAAAAGGACTGATCAAGTATTTTTCTATTTCATCGGGATTATTTCAAGGATCGGCTTTAAGCCCATATCATTTTGCTTTTGTTTTAGATGCTCTTACAAGACATTTAGTGGGGGATGTACCTTGGTGTATGCTTTTCACTAATGATATCCTTCTTGTGGATAAGTCTAGAGAAAGAGTTTAGAAAAAAAACAAGAATTATGAATGTCTACGTTAGAGTCTAAAGAACTTTGTTTGAGTAGATCTAAAACTGAATACGTTTAATGTAATTTAAGTAGAAGTAGATCTAGTGACAGAGTTGTGACAATGGGTACTCAAATCACTAAAAGGTGTTAACGTTTTAGATATCACGGGTCTATTGCTCAAGGTGATGGTGATATAGTTGAGGATGTTATTATTAGAATTCAAGTTAGATGATTGAGATAGAGGAATGCAACGAGCTTATTGTGTGATAGAAAACTATCGCTTAAACTTAAAGGAAAGTTTTATAAGATGGCAGTGAATCTGCAATGTTTTATGACAGAATATTGGCCTTTAAAAAAGAATCATAAAATTAAGTTAAGTGTTGCTGAGATGAGAACATTTAGAAACAAAATGCAAAATGAATGTATCCGTAAAAGGATTGGTGTATCTCTAGTAACAGACAAGATTTGAGAGAGTCATGTTTGATGGTTTGGTCACATTAAAGATCGACCATCTGATGATTCGGTTAGGAGAGTAGATGCTTTAGATTCAGCTTATGTTAAGAAAGGTAGAGGTCGACCTATAAAGACTTGGGCATGTTGTATAAAAAATGATCTTAATTTATTAGAATTAAATGAAAATATGACACTCAATTGGACACAATGGAGAACAATGATTCATTTAGTCGACCATGCTTGATAAAGGCTTCGTCCTCTTCTTCTACTTCTTTTCAGGTTTAACTAGAGGCTGATATGTGAGAAAATACAAGCAAACCACTTAAATGTTCTAAGAGCACAACAAATATGTGACTCTCAATGAGAAGAGGTGCAACAAAAAGCTCATTAATGTAATTATTGAAGTTAGATGGGATTCTATGGTCATTAAGATTGAAATTTAAGTTAGATGGGTCAATAGTTGAGCCAACCATATTTAAGTGGAAGCTTTATTTTTTTATGTATGTGGGGAGATGTGGTCATCTTCGAAAGCATGTATTTTTGTTTGATTTAGCAAAACTTATTTTAAGAAATTGTCAAGCTTTTTGAAATTTTTATAATGTTTGAGCTTATCTTCAATCTTGTAATACTTGGCATTCATGATAAACTCAATTTTTTGGGTTCTTTTATCATCAAAGTAAAATTATATTTTTTTAATAAAGAAAGGCATCGTAGGCTATTTTTGTGGCATTTAGCTTAATTTGGGCAGTATTTGGATTTTAAAATTTCTTTTGTCGTTATCTATGTTAGAGTTTTTCTCTTAGTTATTTATTTTGTTCCCATTAGTCATTCTGATATATTTTAGCATTTCCTATTAGTTTTAATTTTGTGAAATTAATTTTTTTATAGTCATCCATTCTATGTAGGGGTGTAAACAAGTCGAGTCGAGCTTAAGCCACCCTCGACATAAGCTTGAGTTTGATTAATTTTATCAAGTTCGAGCTTGAGCTTGAGCTTAAGTTTACTAGTTTGAACCTTGCGAGCTGGTTTGTTTATCATAAAAGAGAGAAAATGATATTAATAAGATGATAAATAAAAAGAATAATTAAGCGATGAATAAGAAGAAACCACCTAATATACAATATAAAATATTATTTTGTAAACATTTTTAATAATTTAAAGAAAATGTCTTGAAATTTAATAGATTTTAAGTCTATTTTATATTATTATTTTTGTTAATGAGCCTGCCCACGAGCTAACGAGCCAAGTCGGGGCTGGCTTGAGCTTGGCTTGTTAGTTCATCGACCTTAGTTCACGAGCCAATTATGGAGTCGAGCTCGAGGCGGCTCACAATTTGTCTCAATTACCTTACACTCTTAATTCTATGCTAATCAAAGACATCATCCAATTTTTTGAATTAGTCTAAATTTTTTTTAATCTTGTCCTTTTCATCAAATTTACAGGTTTTATATTTGTGCATAGTGTAGGGGTTATTTAGCGATGTAAGCAAATGCATTGGTGTAAACATATAATATGTAGTGAATTAAAAAAAAAACAATAAGTACCTAGGTAGAAGATGATAAATTGATGATTTAAATAATGCTTGATTAGAAAAACTCCCATATGAGGAGGAAGCTGCAATGGGCTATTAAGTACCAAGTTGTCCTTAAACAATTTAGGTCTTTTTTGTAAAAAACCATTTTAGTCTTATAAACACGCAAACTACTTATGTATATTTATATGTATGTGTGCCTATATGTATACCTAAATGAATAACCATAACTATATATATATATATATATGTATATATTTATTGATATAGAAAAGATACAAAAAAGTTGTATGAGAGACGCATTTTCTGTCCGGACACCTGATGTATCTCTACATACGGTGCAGGTTATTCTTGAGTTATTTTCAGGTTATTTCTGGGTTATTTTCAATAATCCCGAAATAACCCAGAAATAACAAAAAAATAAAAACCGCAGGTTATTTCGGGATTATTGAAAATAACCCCGAAATAATATAAAAATAATCTAAAAAAAACTCAGCAATACCCTACGCCGCACGTAGAGGTACGCCAAGAGTCCACACAAAAAAAATTTTGATATGAGAGGGCCCAATAGAGGCACCCTAACCATACGATACCAAGTTCAGTAATACCCAAAAAAAAAAAGATACAGATGGACTCAAAAAAATTTAAAACATGTAGAAAACAAATAGCTAGAGACAAGCCAATTTAGTCCTGCCTCTTTCCTTAGTTTTAGGAGCGAAGCTAGATAACAAACTTTGAAGTGTTGTGCCATTGTCAGGAGTAACCAAAGTATCATCCATTAAGTTTTCAAGTTGGAGTGTGCCCCCCAACCTTCTTCTGCCGAGAAGTGTCAATATGTCTTTCTTCATCTGAAGATTGCTCATATGATCCTCGGTCTGATTAAATATTAGAACCGCAGTTGAAGGAAAGACAATTGTTGCCACAACGATAAGATCCAGTGTATGTGAAGTGTGAATTATCACGTATGCACCTGATGCTTCCTGAATAGGAGCTGCGGGGCTATCCTGACTTTCGGTCCGAACATTATCTCTTATAGTATGGTCAGGAGAAGGGTTTCCAGTGACAGACACCAACTCCTGTCTTGTGGTGATTCCCTCCTTAAATTGGCTGTCATTAGGTTTGCTGGGAGTGCTTTCAGGTTCGTGGGGTGCAATAACAACATGTTCCTGTTTTTGACTATTGGTTCTCAACTGTGGGTGCAATTTGAAACATTTCTTTTGTGGGTGTACAAACATCTTGCACTGATTGCAGTAGTAAGGTTTTTGTTTCATAATGATTTTTTAACAATAACCATTGTAAGCAGAGCCAAGATAGATTTCTTCTACATCTAGTAGTGTAATATCCCTTCAATCAAAATCCTTGCAATAAAGGGCATTGAGAAGTGAACTGTAGGTATGTCTACCTGCAAAGGTTTTCCCTGGATAATCCCAATTGCATATAAGATAAATTTGTCAAAGAATTGAAGCTTGAGTTTAGGTAATGAGAACCTGATAAGTGCAATTAGGGGTTCTTGACTGAGATCAAAATTAGGGGTTCATTTGAGCAATTCATATGATTTCCGTCGATTGTGATGAATTTTTTTGAGAAAATCCTTATGTAATTTATTTAGTGAGAGGCCTCATTGTTTGTATTTATCATAGCTGAAGAGGATTGCTAACACTCATCACTATAGAGAATTGTTGACACCTGTCATTGCAATTTTGCCATAACTATACACAAATTCTTGAGGTTCTTTCGTTTGGTTGTGAGTATAGAGGTCTCTTATGTCTATAGGTATTAACGATTCTCTTGGACATTTTTTTTTTGCTTGAAAGGTCAAAATTACTTTTAGTCTCTGATTCCCAGGGTTGGTTTTGTCAATTGTAGACCTCACACATGAGGAAGGGCTGGAAGTGTTGGTTTTCATAAATTGAAGTGCCAAATTGGATACTCGCAATAGTTTGGGATTGAAATAGATGCACTTTTAAGTAGTCTAGGAACCATTTTGGCCATTTACTTGAGGAGCTGCGTACCCATTTTCTTGTTTCAAGGGACATAACTATAATTTCCCTTGAAATTGTGGGCTATTAGTAGGGAAGACTAACCGCTTTTAGCTCATGTTCAAATGGGTCTCATCAAACCAAATGATAAAGCAAATCAGTAATGGTAACATACAAATTGATATCTGTAATAAGTGCATGCATTTTAGTTATTTCTGTAGCTCTGCTAAAGCTATCATAGTATATGAGTTGCTGTTTAATGTTCACACTGTGTAGGGATATTGATTTTTTTTTCCAGTTTGTTGATTTTGTTAGTCTTGTTTGAAATCTGTTTATTAACTTGTAAAATTCATACACTTAATTACCAATTTATTCCTCTCATCAGCTATAAAACTACAGTATTTATGTTTTTTTTATTAATGTGATAAGTGTCAAATTAGTCTGACTTTTTGTGTTGACCATCTTAGTCTTGGTGCTTATAAAAGCGTTAATTTAGTTCCAAATTTTTTTAATATATTTTATGAGAAAAGTGTCAAAATAGTCCCCTTTCTCTATTCAGGATGCTGTTTTAGTCCCATAGTTAATATAAGTGTCAATTTACTCTTCATATTCTTTTAAATGGGTTGAAATAGTCCTCATCAAGACTATTTAAGAACCCATTAAAGTAATTCGGGGACTAATTTAACACTTTATAAACTCTGGATTTAAAATGATCCAATGTAAATAGTTAGGGGACTATGTTGGCACTTTATTTTTTATAGGCTCTGATTAAAATGCTCCATGTAAACAGTCATGGGACTATTTTGATCCTTTACTCATTTCATAGGTGTTTTGTGCACCTTCTGTTGCCTTGCACTAGGTAATGTAGTTTATCTGGCAATGTTATATTTTACTTGAGCGGGTGTTTTATTTATTTATTACTTGAACAAGTAGGCATTTTCTTTGGAATTCTTCATATTACTATGTGAATAAACAGGACTATATGGAAAGTAAAATCTGTTCTTCAGACATATGTTATTTTTTTTCTTAAATACTTGCCAATTATTTTTTTCTCGATAAAATATTAATTTAACTGTATGAAGGCTGGGCGCAAATGTCAGAAGAATGAATCAGCATCCACTTATTCTTGCAAGAATGAACCAGCCAACACCTCATTGATGTTTGAAGATCTGAAGGCAATGGATCAGATTGGATTGGCTAATTTTGTTATTTTTGGCAACAGAACTTTCAGACCTTTGCAGTATGAAGCCTGTAAAGCTGCAATGGAAAACAAGGATTGCTTTGTTCTTATGCCCACTGGTGGAGGTAAAAGCTTATGTTATCAGGTAGTATATTTTATCTGTGTGATCTGATGTTTATGTTTCAGCATTATAGGGAAGTTATTTGTATATAATCCTGAAGTTATAATGTAATTACCTGATTGGTTTGTTGGTTTACACAAGCAAGAAAAAAAAAAACTACAATTCTTGTTGCTTAAATACTTTCTTCAGTGCATTTTATATTAAGCGCATTTACATATTTACCACACAATTCTTATGTATTTACATATCTAACACCAAAACATTCATATTTACATGCATACCAGACAAATTTTTATCATAACATCAAAATACAACCATCACTACTTTTTTAAAAGTGAAATATGCTTTTTCATGGCATAGGTATATGACAGCAAGATTTCATAAATGTAAATATCAAAGTTTGGGTATTAGATATGTAAATACATAGGAATTTTGTGGTGTGTATGTAAATTTCCCTTTATATTATTCTTGTAAGTTTCAATTAAACCAGATTTGCAACCTCTTCAACTTTGAAATATGGAAATACATGAAATTATTTGAAGATTTACAAACAAACCACTCAATTCCTATGTATTTACGTATCTAACTCTAAACTTCAATTTTTATATGCATGCCACCTTACCCAAGCATGAAAAGGTGTATTTCGCTTTTTAAAAGTTAAAATGGTGGTATTTTTGATGTGATATGAAAGATTTAGGTGGTATAATGTAATAAGTAAAGGTTAGATGTTAGATATGTAAATACAGTGATTGGGTGGTATTTTTATAAATGCCCCATAATTATTACATTCTGTCATTTCCTCGTGTAAGTGATGGCGTTTGTTTGTATGCGGAGTTGTGAATTTAACTCGGCGAAATTTGCCCCCCTGAACTTCGTAAATATATGGAACTAAAATGAACTTCTTGTCTCCAAAAAATTGATTTGTGTTTTTTTTGCTGGTAAAAATTTTTATTGTTGAAATCTAGAAGATCTAAATTCTTTTTCGAACTCATTTTTCAAAGTTCTTTATGAAACTTGTCATCTGAGAGTACTGCAAAATGCCATTGATTGGCTACATTTTTCATTATACAGTGGACAGGGTGCACTTGCTTAAATATATGGTGGGACTCATGTAATTAGATTTAGGCTCGATTCTTATGTATTCACATATCTAACACTTATACTTTAATTTTTACATGCATAGCTCT